GTGCCACTCCACGTTTCATCGCTGCTATCTATGTGCCTATTGCAAGTTGCACCGTCATCCTCGAAGGAGGATTATCACGCTCAACGAACTTGATCCTACGATCCTCTAGAGACTGGTGACATAAAAAGTTGTTCGAAGCCTCATAAGCTACAGGGCTTGAGGCAGACAATTCTTTCGCTACTTCTATGTTTAAAATGATGATGGAAAACCCATCTCCCTGTGCAGAGATACACAAGGAATTCGAGTTTGGATCAACTTTTATCAATCGATTTGGAATTTTGTCGAGGTTGCTGGATCAGTAGGCGTCCGCCCCTACTGACCCGACCGTTTGTGAAGTCATCCACGCTGTTGCAACTTTGCAACAGTGTCCGACCCGCGTCCTTTAACCATCTTGGATGATAATTGATCAATTTGATTAGTGTTTTAAGACGCTAGGCGTGAGGCAATAAACTTCTAGGGGTAGTGCCTTAGTTTTTTGACAGCAATCGCACTTTTGCAATTGCTTACTGTTAAAGAGCGAGGTCTCTCGCTTTCAACACAGCCGAGATCCATTGGCTCTAGACCTCCCGCTTCTATTCGTCTTGAAGGACGATTGAGGGCCAAAATAATGTGAGCCTTTCTCACACTAAAGTGATCCTGAATCGCAAATGTGATCGCTTCCTCAAGCTACTTCAACTCGATGTAGAATAGGTAGTCTATCATGGGAATATCTTAAAGGCCTTGTAAGAATATTGTGATCAGCACAAAAACACTTACAGGGTTCGGTACTAGGCAAGTTGAAAGATAATGAGCGTGCTGAGAGTAAGCAAGAACGTCACCATTACCTTATTTTATGTTCAGGAGCTCTAAATAATTATAAACTTAGCTCTTGGAGGCTCAAACGTTTGGCTAAGCAGAGCCTTAATGAACACCAAACTATCCAAACACGTTTGTATCGTGCAATTGAAGATTCAGGGCTCTGGTTCTAACACCTATGACTAATCCAGTTTGGGAAATGCAACTTGCACATCCTCATGTTTAATGTGGCAAGCTTTAATGATTCATCCACGTGAGAAAGCAAATTAACAAAAAGTCTGCCTCAACTCCCCCAACTTGGAGGTCTCTAAGTTTAGAGCCTCGTGTCGACGCGTGAGCGTCGAGGCTGCAGTATCCGACTGAGACTGGTGCTGTATCAGGAGCTCAGTCTGTTGGTGACCTTGCTGATGCAGCTGGGTCACTTCAGCTCGCGACAAGTCAAATTCCCGTTGCAAGAGCTTGGCGATTACGGAATGCTGCTGGGCACTTTTCCTTGTGAATAGCAGAGACCAGACATATTCTTTCCCACCGTCGAACGCATTAGCTCGATCGCATTCCATTTGACATCATTCTAAACAAGGTAACTTTCACGGGTGTCGTGAAGGTATCGTTGACTTTATCGTCCAACATTTTCATGTGTAACGGGTTTTGTAGTCCTTGGATGGACTAAAACGTGTTACAAGGTGTAATGGGGCACCGTTGCAGCACACAGAACAACCAGTGTTATCACCTAAAGCAGCGCTAGTGGCGCCTTGCTACCTTTTAAACTACGCAGAGGAAGGGAAAGCAACGAGGAATTGAATAGTAGCTGATAAAAGTAAACTATATGAAATATATTCAAGTCCTGATCATTTAACCCATGTTTGTCCTATCTTGATAACATCAATCTGCAAAAGTGTAAGCTGAAGTCTTGCTCACATTCCATTTCGCGCGTCCATCGCTGATTGGACCGCTACTGGCTGATATGATGGCCCATATCAGCCAATCGGTGCGTGTTTTTAAATATTACCTCTTACGGCAACATTTACGAGCATTGTCAGCCTATTTGATACTAAAGGTTATCAACAAATATAAAAATTGATAATATGAAACAGGCTCACCCCGTTACATTCATGGACCACAATCTTTTTGTAGGGCATTAAGTCTACTGCAAGAAAAATTTGTTGACTCGAAGGTCACAAATAATGTACAAGCCAGCTCATTGCATTGGTCACTTCTTAACTGGCACATCTACACAAGTCAGCCTGACTTCTGTTTAGCTAGCCTAGCGAGTTGGTTCCTTCGCTTTGTGTTGAGACATCGCTACCTTTGAAGATGCCCAAATACCCTAGGACATATCACCGAGCGAAAAGTTTTCTATCAGATTTAAGCTTTATGTCTCTGGCGCGTTTCTGGTGACGGCATATTTCTGGTGTCAGTAGTTCCTCGCATGTTTAGACAATTTCGATACCAGATCGATAGAAGCGTATCATTTGAGAAATTCTTCGACGTCGTTCATCCTTTTGCCTGATTAATAAAATTATGTTTGTGAAACGTCGTGTTGGATGACTACGACACGACACAGGCCTTCAGCAAACAGGCTTGACACGTAATCGAGATTGGACAGGAGCAGAAGGTCAGTTTAACGACCACTTCATCTGTGACTAAAGTTAGGAATGGTGGAGAAGAATTTTTTTTAACGATTATAAACGACCAGCGATACCTCTAGGAATGTCTGCTAAAACTGCAGATCTTGCCACAGGAGAGAGCTGTTTGACCTGTATGCGTGTACGCATCACACTGGTAAAGACCTATATAGAGTATGCATCAAGCATCGTACGCTTTGAAAATATAGTAAGAAACTTCTCTACCAAGGCTGATAGCAAGATTTTTTATAGCGATCGTTTTCACGATTTTTTTTATAAGTTAAGAGAGAGAGATTTCACTCCGCTGTACAATAAGTGATGTAAATAATACTACGCCCTAGCCGATGTTCCCACGTACGAAAGACTATGTCTGATGAGTGAGACCAAAAAATGGCAAACGAGTGGAATCATACTCGATCCTAAAAAGTGAATGTTTCGTGCGCTAAATCTACTAATCTCTTGGAATATCTGGACTGATTATGTGTACAATAAAAGTCGATGGAGATGTGCTACAATTACGAGCTGGTATGCAAAAAGAAACCCACAGGACTTGGTTACTACTTAGAGCAGCCCTGCAAACGCCACCGCTGTAATTGAAAATGCACAACGAGATCCTTCTGTCGGTACACTTCGATCTCGTCTAAGTTAGATTTTCTGCAGAGATGTGTAAGGAACTTATTAACGCCAGACCGCTTAGCAGTAATGGTCTTCTCATCGATACCACCGACAGGTAAGATCTTACGGCCGAGCAACAATTTGCAAGTTCCTGTCTTCAGTACAAGAATGTGCTAACTGGTAAGTGGGAAGCTTTGCGTAGTGATGTCTTAGCAGTTTTGAGAACGACTGAATTGGCGCTATCAGTCACGTTTGACTTACTTGTCCCCTTCATACATTTACGCACATCGGCGTTACCTCCTTGATTCAAGTTCTAGATGTGGCTTCGATATATACTAACTTCTATTGATTATGCTCCTGTTTTAAATTAAGGTCCGACTTGGGCGTGTTAGACCCATCTTATGCAGTCGTGGTTAAAGCGCTGCAGCACCTTGCGATGCTGCTACAATTATAGGTATAGCGGCAACTTTTTTCCCCCGAGTTACACCCTCCCTTAATTACAAAATAAGGGCTCAAAGTCCTAAAACAGTTATGTGTATGTCAGTCGAGGTTAACGAGTTCACAACGGCATAACAAGACTGAAGAGTGGAGCTAAAAGTGATTGTGCGCAAAGTAAATGCTGAGCTTTATAATTGTACTTAGATGTGTTCATTTGTGTCTGTGTGAATATCCCTATGTAATAGAAGCGGATATGAGTACCTTACACATGCTAATACAGTCTATTTTGTTTCTACTTGTGGGTAGATGAACATATTTTTAGTCACAATTTGGCTATGTCACTATTGTGGCGCACGCTTGTGATTGTTCTTTTATCGATTCAAGGTGAATACTATCAAATTAGCAATCGCTAAATGCGTATGAGAAAAGGCTGATCGCTCTTCCCGAGTATAGTTAAAGTAGTCAATGCCCGCATGATTCGCATCATACTTCACCTTCATTGACTGCTGTTGTTTAGTGCTATGCGTCTCGATTCCGTTCTCCGAACGGAATTACTTATGTCAAAGGGCGAACCCAAGAGCTTGCTACCTACTGTATGTTATCAGAGGTTATAAGCTACCTAGTTATAGTGGCCCATGCATACAATTTAGTAACTGTAACATTTAAAACTACATCGAAAGAAATACTCCACCAAAATCACCAATTCTATTTTTACAACAAAACCGAAGTCCCCAAATGCTCAGTAGAATAAGTGCCCTAGAGACAAGCAACGACGGTCTACATTGCTCGTAAGAAATTTGATCCAGGCTATACCTCGAAATTAGAGATATGCAGCCAATCTGTCGTTTGCTGGGTTGTTATTCTTTGAAAAAAACAACGTTGCAATTTTTTTGGTTGACTCCTCATTGATGAGCATCTCATTTTGTCGAAAAGGCAAAAGTGCTCATTCAGATAGCAATGATTAAGAGGCTCTGCAAACACTGTGGGAATAGAAAGAATGCTAAAAGGGTTTCAGCGGTGTAGGAGGCAGTTACCAACATATTTAATTAAGTTAGATAAGAAAACCTTGTTATACAGTAACTATACCTTGCACTACTTGTCACATGAAAATGAACGTACCTTCATACAAGATACTCCTTGCCTCAGATTTACGGTGTCATCAGCACAAAAATCGCTCTCTAAGCTGATCTTAAACAGAATTACTACCCCATATTGGTACAAATTCAACCTCTACACACTTTTGTGTAACCTCTCGCTCTTCGGCTAGTTCTCTATTGTTGTTTATGCATGTTCAAAGATTATAATCAATCAAGGGTGAATATGATCACATAAACAAATTCTATACGTTTGTAAGCATAGGCTGATCGAGTTTATTACTTTTCCTTAAAGGGTTTCTAAAGAAATTAACAGCATCACACTCATTCTTCAGTGACTCTTGTTGTGTGGTGTTTTGCAAATTAATTCTGTTCTCCTAACTGGATTACATCAAGGTTGAGCTCCAGAGCTTGCTACCCTATCTTAACATGCTTACTTGTTCATGGCCAGAGGAAGCAATGCCTTCGACATCTTAAAATAAGGTAAAGGCCAGCACTTCGGAGTAGCTCCCTCTGGAACGTGCAGATGCACTTCATTCTCCTCAAAGAACTTATTCTCAGGATCAATAGCGTGCATCTTGCTGCGAGCAAACGTGTGCGCAATCTTAGTACTCTCCTCCATCACCGATCCCATCTGGCCCGTAGTGATAAGACCCGATCGGTCACCCTTAGTACTAACACTACTGGTCTCGATGTAGAGCGATGCTCCACCCATTGCCTTCCACGCGATTTCATTATGTCATTGGAAACAGTTTGGTAGACATGCGGTCCCTAGGTTTTTCACAACATGTAAAGGTCTAATGTACAGACCAGCATTATTTCAGTGAGGGGGTCGAGATTCTACCCCATCTAGTGGACTAGAAATTATAGCTTCATGTCCTAAATCTTAGTGCAATCACCTTTAGCTCAATGGTACCTCTCATGAAGCCTGGTCCCCGTACCACTGAGCTGTAGCATCTATAAAAGACATGAATGTTTTAAGTGCTTGATGCACTGGATTCGACTCCAGAGATTCGACCCATGATAGGGTATGTCTAGAATGTTCTTTAGGGTTCTATGCATTATTATAGGTCGTACGGCAGCTAGACGTATGGATAGTTCTCACTTGTAGATTGACAAACCACTGATGAGCCCGGCGGGGGCCGAAACGCGTCTGGTGCGCGGTAATATACAAGTTATTTACTTTACTTAGCTCCTAATTTTTACAGGTTATGAGCCCAAGTGCTCGCTGCAGACACCTCACCAAGGACCAACTTGTGCGAGGGACACCCCGTCAGAGAAGGCGCTCGATGCACGAGTAAGGCCCGAAGAATTCATCGACAGGGATCGTTGACGGTGCGGTGCAGTCGAAAAGGGTTTGTGCAAGGGTGGTGACGCGAGATGGTCTGAATGCGCGAGTGCTATCGAAGGAAGAGTCAAGTCAAGTGGTGACAAGTGTATTTGTGGTCAAGAAGAAGTGGAAACTACATGCAAGGCGAACGACGACTACGAGATGTCAAGATGTGACATGGTGCTGGACGATGGGGGAGCCTAAATACCTGGAACGCTCGGTATCATCGAGGTTGGCTGGAGCGCAGGGGAAAGACTCAATCAAGATTCCCATGGTGCACGGATGCAGCAGTGAGGATTACAGGCGGGTCGATACCAAAGTGGTCTGCATCTCATGTCTTCGAGGGGGAGTGTTTTAAGTGCTTGATGCACTGGATTCGACTCAGAGATTCGACCCATGATAGGGTATGTCTAGAATGTTCTTTAGGGTTCTATGCATTATTATAGGTCGTACGGCAGCTAGACGTATGGATAGTTCTCACTTGTAGATTGACAAACCACTGATGAGGCCCCCGGCGGGGGCCGAAACGCGTCTGGTGCGCGGTAATATACAAGTTATTTACTTTACTTAGCTCCTACTTTTACAATGAACTCCTACCAACGAAATAGGCAGAAACCTCTAGAACTGACTGATTGAATGACACCTATACTGTCCTAAAATGACTTCAGAACGGATTCAGTAATATTCAATTGCGAACTGGTGTTAACATCTAATCTGTCACCGCCTTTATTTTTGCTACAATGAGGTAATATTCGCGCGCTCTTTTTTAGAACGGTATGTTATTCGTTTTGCTCTATATATAGCTAAATTCTTAATTTTTAAGCTGTTTGATGTTTACAATTTACTAATCGCGCAAGTTGATGTTGAAAACCTTCGCCATATAAAACCTATACAGCCAATCTTCGGATAACAGATAGTCTTGGTGGAAACAAATGATATCAAATAGCCGAGCTTTAAGTAAAGGAATTCGGTTTTGCGATTATCTCATTTGAGAAAAGATAGACAGTTATATAACGATTTAACTATCGGAATTATAGTAATGAGTCTTGCTTGAGTATTGTCAACGATGCACAAAAGCTTGACATCTGTTAGCTCAAGGCCTAGAATGTATAAAAAATGAGTCACAGTGTGCTGGAAAATTGGGATTCTAGCAATTTTAGAGTTCAGATCACCCAGAACGTCATCTCTCTGTAATTAAGAAGCACACCGGTATAGAATGTCACACGACTGACGAAGTCTCCATTAAAGCCTCGTAGTCGCTCACGATCCAAAAACGGAGGAAGAACTGTCAGCTTAGGTGATTTAATGCTAAACAAAGAGTAATTAACTAACAAGAGAACCACCGAGGTAAATTCTCTGGTATTATCTGAACGCCTCAGCCTACTGCAGGATACCTTTAAACTCTCGAGTTGTCAGTCGCAGAACCAACAGTAGCGAAACAATCTATGCCTCATCTAGATTTTTGGCGAGATTGGTTAAGCAAGTGATAAAGCCATGGATGCAGCATTGCTGAGTTACGGACTCTAATCGCTTGCTTTGAGCCCGAATATGTTTTAGGCATTGATGGAACTAGTTTCTATGAATTAAGAAAGAGATATTTAGGCTGATGTTGTTTAATTACTGATACATGTTACAGATCATTTACGGTATGAATTAAAAATGCAGTTGCGTCGAAACAGATTGATATTCTTAAGAGGTATAAGGTTAAAAGAACCTATTATCAGGATAAGCGGTGACGCTCGATTTTTTTTAGATTCAATAGCGGTTAACTTCTTTATTTTATTTATGTAATGATCTCTATTTCATTCACGGCCAATGAGGATGGTACTTCAGGTGTTTATCCATATGAATTCCACTTAGATCACCCCTGATTCTCGTTAACACACTTTTAAGTGCCCTCATACACTTGGTCCACGTTAATTGTGGACTTTTATTAAGGAAGATGATTTCGTGCAATCGGGAGTATTTTGCATGAAATTGTTGTCTTCTGTAATACTCAAAATTTCCGATCGATATTAGTTTAAGAGACATAATTTAGCGACGATAGAATGAGCATGGTGTAACGCGAATGTTAGAAATAAATGAGTTATAAGGTATAAGGATAGGAGTTACTCGAAATATTTCTGTATAGGTGAATTCGAAGCCATTTTTTGACCGGGTTACAATTTGCGGCAAGCGCTTTTTAATGACTTAAAATCAATTTAATGTAAACATTGTCACGTTAATATGTCGAATGCTCAAAAGCAAAGGCTGACCACTTGGCTTGAGTATACTATGCTGGCTAATACAGACACAATTATCATCATACTCAATTACGGGACTGCTGTAGCATAGTTTTTGCAACTTAATTTAGGTCCATGGACTGGATTACTTTAATAATGGGCTGGCCTCCTTGGCTCCCTATCGTATAAATTTACCGACTTCTGTGAAGATTTTTCTGCGTACAATTTAAGCGTAATTCATGCTGATCCCTAATTGGTACACAAACGATTTAATTATGCTAGCTATATACGCCTTTGGGATGAACAACCGGCAGATTTCAAACGCTCGAAGCTTAGGTACAATGAGTACCGTGCACCTCCGACAAAAAGAAAGCGTGGAGTAATTTACATTGTAGTACTGGACAAACCAAAAATGTAAGAATTTTCTATTATTTAAATTTTGATTGTAGATGAAGCTCCTTCAATTTGAATTTTCTTTTCAATCATCAATAATAAATTGGCATCCTCTCTTTGCAGCTGACGGCTTACTGATCAGGAACATCCCGGCCCCCTTTCTCACATTTGCTTTTAAAAACCATTAAACACACTAACGGATATCATTACCATTCTAAAATCCATGATCACCTTCATGTTTAAAAACACATTGCATGACCCGATACCCTATCCGCTAACAACCCGACAATGGGACTAAGTTACCATAAGTTGATTCGGTCCTCGGGACTAATTTACTTATACCATGAGCTATACGGCGTGCTCGTCTATCTCAATTAGAGTAAAGAATAAAACCGTCCATTTTTGTTGTCATTCGTTCTCGCATGTCGTTGTTGTCAGTTCCATTTCGTTCAGGAATCGGTTTAGCATCATACTATCCATGAAACAACAGCGACAATAGTCTACATACGGACATCTATGTTTAATTATAAACAGAGCTAAATGCGACAACTCAAAAAACCGAAGCGTATCAGTGTCCTTGAGCAAGATGGAGTCTACATTCGGACAATATGTTAGATAGATAAAATAGAGTCTACATTCGGAAATTTAGGTTAAGCTTGGACAGAGCTGAATGCAACAACTCAAAACACCAAAGCGTATCAGTTTCCTTGAGCAAAAGGAGCAAAGTGATTAAATGTGCGCTTGCAGACAAAGGTCTGCTGTCTCTGCAATCGGACATACATCTGGACGGGCGACTCATCTAGGATGGACTTTTGAATGTCGTGCACGCATTGCGTCTTTAAAGAAAGCTATATTTCCTGATTCACCAGAAGCAGATGTAGACATCCTTGTACTTTGCACATCCCTTCGAGCCGTGCGAAAAGTAGCGGTCTAGGAACATGTAGCGTTTAGTAATTTGGTCGAAAATCGACAGCGTAACTCGTTTTTGAATGAGTATCAATATTTGCTACCCCAAACTATTAACGTGTCTTTCGCGTCACTAATTTTTTGGGGTGCTGATGTCAGATGCATAAGGTATTGAGATTGGGTGTGATCTATTATCACATACAGTTCTTTACGATAATCTCTGCGCGATGTGCAAAGTCACAGTTCCTGCATAGCACTATACAAAATAAAAGATCATTGTCATGCAGAGTAGAGTTGTGCGAGCTCGCCATTAGTGGATGGGATCAGGCAATATTGCGGACTCCTATGGAGTGCGATCTCATCCACCAATATCTGAAATGCGACGTCAGCCACCAACTTTATAGTCGGTTCTCTTCCCTCGCTCAAAACTAGAGTTAGAGATCGTGGATATAAATTCGAGCCGGGTCGGGTCATGCGATCACTTTATGTCATGGATGAGGCTTTTATGTACTTTGAATTATGCTATTTCGTACTGCAAACGATGTCAAACGTTTTCACGACCAGCTATAAAGATAATGGTTTGATTTATCCGTGTTTTGCTATGCATATATTAGTTTAATGATGCGAAGATTTTAGAGCTTCCATTTACAGGTTTTAGTTCCATGTGACCACCCTGTAAACTAGCTTCAAATGAAGCATATAGATTAGCTTTACAGGCTTGCTGTGGATAGAGAGCACCATCACTGCTAAACGTCGATGTAGTCCAATTGTGCTCCCGACAAATCGCTTGACCTGTATTTAAATTTCAAAAGCGCATCGAGAGTATGTGACTTGCTAAGAATAGGACGTCCGCTGCTGTAGGGTTGAACTGAAGCATATGCGCATCCTTTGTGTGCCGTGATGGAGTCAGTAAGAGGTCGCTTGGCGCGTCGGATGTGTCTGTTTAGTTTGCGAAAGAGTCCAAAGACGAATAATGGAGCCAGCTGATCTGATCGCAAGCACGTTGGCTTCTGTCTGTTAAGCACTGACACAGCGCCATGCTGTGCCTATCCAGTGAAACAGAGCTCTTTTAAAAGTACACGCTCATGTCATGGGGTACCGGTTGCTTGTACTGTCACAGTATAAGCTACTTACACAGAACACAGAGTAGGGCGGTGTCTTGAGACTTCACTTACACGCTTCGTGCAGATAAGGTTTTAACACGAGAGAAGTGTAGAAGTAGAACTGTATTTAGCGTTGTTAAATATGCTGTCAGTAAATTACGATTAGTCTTCATTCGACGATGTTTAAATACAAACATGTATTTTAACCATCAGCTCACCACTCACTGCATTCTTCTGTCGTGGCTCGGCTTTATTAATTAAAATCGTTTATCTATGTCAACTAATGAGCAGTGTATTACTTCTGCAACACCACATTACTTATTTGGCCAATACTGCAACGGGGCACCCTTTGTTTGGGGTGTCGCAAAACTTCACGTACACTACTACGTGCAGAGGAAGCTAATTTACTCAGACAGCTAGTCTGAATAAAGGGGAAAAAGAGAACTGCATTTAATGCATTTTTAATCTACCAATATAACTCCAGTCTTTGTCTAACTATCTTAAACTACGTCGTCGTATGACGACAACCTGCTCACCACTCATTGCGCGCGTCTAGCAGCGATTGATGGCAATCTATGGTCGTTTTGTCTTATATCAACCAATCTTTGAGCGGCGCATGAATTTTATCCCGACGGGATTATATTCCCTCAATAAAATCCATCCCGGATAATATTGGTAGAATTCTGTCATGCTAGACAATATTCCTATTGACACCGTTTGGTGTCAATATCATGTAGAGGCCACCCCGTTACAAATACTGTGAGAATATTCTGTGTGTCCTAACAGAACATTCGTACTTGATATTTGCCTTGAGTAAACTATCATGCAATGGAGGCACCCGGTTACAAAAAAAATATATATATGACAAAAATGATCGACGCTTAGGGGCAGCAGAAATTGCGCGCCTCCGGCGAAGAGTAAGTGTGAATTAGTTGTCATTCCTAGTACTGGATAACCTGAGAAAGTAAGAATTTATAGTCGCCTATTTCTCTCGGTAGCAGAGAAACCTCCCTCAATTTGACTTCTCTTTTCATCGTTAATTCTAAATCATTAGCCGCGCTTTGATGTTGACGGCGTTTCTGCACAGGATCATCCTCCGTCTTTCTTGTTGATATTTGTTCCTTTAACACATGAACAACATCAAAGGGAAGGGTTGCAACTAGCAATCTATCAGCACTTTTTAAATCATATACACACGGCGCATATCCCATGCCCCAAGACGCCACCCACCTGACAGGGGTACGTAAATCCCCGTAACTTGATTCTGTTCGCTGGACTGAATTACTTTTATCATGAGGTTCAGAGTTTGCTCATCGATCTTTATTGACAGTAAAGATCATATGCATACATTTCTAGATACCATACATTCTCACATCTTGTTGCTGCCACTCCCTTTTTGGTTTTGGTGGAGACTCTAGCTACAGACAACGGATGTTGACATGACTGCATCATCCTTACTTTACATGCAACAATAGCGACAATAATCTGCATTCGGACATTTATGTGAAGCTCTGGGCAGAGCTATATGCGATATCTCACACCAAAGCATATCGATGACCTTGAGCAAAACAAGGCACGATAATTCCACGTACGCTTACGGATAAAGGTCTCCTAACTTCGGCAATGGGACGTGTATCCGACGGGGCCACTCAGCTAGATAGACTTTGCAATGCCGTGTTGACGTTGTGTCAATCGAAAATGCTACATACTAAATGCGCACATTACAGACGTCAGCTATCGCTTTACTTGTGTCCGAAGGCATTCATTGTTTGTCTTGTCGTATCGACAGAAGAAGCACTTAGAAGACCTGGGACACTCGTCCGAAAAATTGGTCGCTCGATGAATCGTTTGAATTTGTCCGGTCTACGTTGAGCTGTGACAGTGCGTCACTATCGTCAAAGATCAAGATTGTCATTTGCTTTTTTTTCTTTCGACAGTATTGCCTTTCTACTAAATCAAGTGCATCATAAATCGAACTAGTACTAGCACCTGGCCATCAAATTTCGAGAATACCGGTGACACAACGTTTGACACGTCACCTCAAATGATTCTTGTTAAAACCAAGTACAGTAAGCCCAGTAAGGCGTGTCGTTTGCATCGCCAGTTGAGGTGCCGTTGTCGAGTGCATCAAGTACTGAGGTCGAATAGTAGCTATGAGCGCGTGCAGTTCCACATGGAAAGCTCTGCGCAGCGTGCAAAAAAAGCCAAGATCGTTGTCATGCAAAGTAATGTATTCAGACTAGTTAGCCATTCGTAGCTGGGCTCAAGCGATACTAGCATCTCTAGAACATGATGTATTAGCTGTCACGAATCTGCATACCGGTTGGCAGTATATATTGTCGCCCATGGCAGACTCGGCGAACGTCTCCTCTAGTTTTGCAGCTCAGCTCGCAAGCCTTTTTGATGCCTCTGCATGGCACAGGCGATAGGATGCTCAACAAGCGGCAACCCATGCGCCATACGACAGCATGGTGCCAGCAACCCGATTTTGAAAACAATGCCAGAACCAGCAAATGGTATGGCCAAGTGGCAAGACACCAGACGTGTGTAAAAGTAGGCGCTGGCGTTGCGGTCGCCCGACAACACGCACAGACTTGTGCGAAACTGGATGGAACCATACTTCATGTATAAGAGGCCGTTATCGTATGATCGATCGCCACCTCGAGATCACGATTCGGGCTGCATGAACCACAATAGGCGCCTCCCGACGGCTTGACGGCAGTTTGGACTGCCTCAAGTTTTCTCATTCCAACAGTCACCAAGTCACTGCCACGACCAACAACTGCTACGACCAACACCTGCACCACCCACCATGCGCGTCTGCTACTTCGCTCTCCTGCATACTGCCGCTCTAGTCGTCATGGCCACCAAGTCGTCGGAAACATTCCAGCCGAGTGTCCACTTGGGACCCCTCCGTGACGTCGACGACCACCGCAACAACGTCTCAGTCAATCGGGCGCTGAGGGCGCAGGCAGCTCCCGATGATGAAGTGAGAGCGGGTAGTTCTTCTGCGATCACATACGCAATGCAAGCACTTGAAGTGCACGCTAAGCTTCGCAAAGAAGGGCAGCCCTTTGGCGGGAAACATTTTAACAATCTGATGAAAGGGTTGTCTCAACGCGGACTGGTGAATGGAGTGGTGTCCAAGTTTGGCGCTGATAAATCGGCCGAACAAGCCCTGGTAACAAAACTGGTTGACGTGTATGGAAATTACGTGATCGGCCAGTGGATAGTGACAACGTGCCTTGCCAAAGACTTGTCATCAGGACAGGAACGCATGCGAGAGATATTGGTCAAACATTGGGTCGCAACCCCGGCTCTGCGCTACATGATCGCTTCTATTCGTGCGACCAATGATTTCCAGGGTGCAGCCGAGCAAGCACTGGTCAAGAAACTGGTCGACGCATATGGAGACAAAGTGATCGGCCCGTGGACAGTGAGACTGAGCCTTGCCAAAAACTTGTCATCAGGACAGGAATTCATGCTAGAGATCTTGGCCAAACATTGGGTGGCAAAACAGGATCCACTAGCTATGATCACTTGGCTTCGCACGACCAAGAATTTCCAGGATACAGACTTCTATCTTCCCGTGGTCGCCAAACTTCTGCAGAATGTCAAACCTACCGCTGTGAACGAAGCCATTTTTGCTGCCTGTGGTGAAAGTTACGCCTATTTCGTTACAGTCCTGTACCGTGCGTCCATGAAGAAAGAGTCGGATCTAACTGCTTGTAAAGAGGCTTGGCGCTTCCATCATGGGCACATCCCTGAGGAACTGCTTAATTGGTCTACTTTTCTACACTCGTACCATCATTATCTTGAGAAAGATTTCAAGAAATTCAAGGGCGAACACAATCGTCCATATGACCCTCTCAACTTAGAGCAACTCAAGCACGCTTTCGTCATGATGTCTTTCTCAACGTAGACCAACTCAAGCAGTCTTTCGACTTGACGATGACCGTCACTAGAATGGATAATTTGGATCGTTTCGAGGGACTGGTAAGTAAGTGTCGCCAAAGGGAGACTAACGCTCAATGCTGAGGTTAAGAAGCTAAAACATGCCATTACATTTGGTACATCATGTTGTTCTAAACATTTGTGGTGGGGGAGTTGACCGAAGTAGCGCGGTACATATGAAGCATCTCTTTATGCGTACGTTAATAGGGACTCAGCTTTTGCATGCGGCCCCCACTTCTCCGTGGCTACATCTTTATCGCACGTAGTGCTGGTGCTATGTGCAGATGGGATGATTGTGGTGGCAAGAGATGCAACACATGGGAAAGGACGACACAACGGGATTGTGTGTAACTGTCGATGGTGTAAAAGAGTTCCTGTACCATGCACAACTTGGGAGAGAGTTCACATTGGGATTGTGTGGAACGGTGAAGTCCATCTCATCTTTGGTTAGTTTTATCGTAGAGTCGATATGAATGGGCTTAGAAGTAGAACCGTCGAACTAAGGACCTAGCTAACAATAATTTACTCTTCATTTTATCCTCTTCTTGTTGCATTAGCGACAACAGTACCCTTGGCTACCCTCATAATACAAAACGTAGAATCCGCGTTCAGTCGGTTCGTTGCCTTTGCCTTGGTTGCCCGTTCCTGCGCAGCGCGACCTGCTTTCGTACACAACGAAGATACCCTGTGACACAGACTTTCTCGATTCGACAGTTCCTTGCCGTAGATTCGTTTAGTGAGTAGATTCACTTCTAATACACGGCGAATCTATTTTGTTGCTACTAGCAAAGTGCAGTCGATTGTGGGTGAAATTGAGCAAGTTGGTGCAATGTTGAAAAGTATCAAGCTTTTAATATTACGGCGTAAATCTAATTTCGATCAAACCAGCCGATCTGAATGCCTATTGTATGACCTTGCTATGGCTTTCTTTTTGAAAATGTAAGCACTACATTCAAACACAATTTATCGAATGTACAGTAGTATTTTTGTCGTTTTAAAAGCGCTCCCTCATTTTGCTTGCTTCAAAAGATCTTAAGTTGCTCGAAGCACACGCAAATGCGTTGATTTATTACGAGAGCAAGTTGCAATACCGGCACCAACCTGATGCAAACGTCACAGAACTGGCACCAGCCGTAAAACCAGCACCGGAGTGGCAAACGAGTGAGGTCATAGTCCCTCCGTTTCACCAGGTTTATCCCTTTCAGGAAAAACCAAAAAAAGGCTCATTTTTGAGCCGTTAGTGTCTGTCGCGTACTTTTGCAGGGCCGCAAGCCGAGAATTTCACACTTCAAAACCTATCTTTTATGGAAGGTTTGACGCCAAGGCAGATTGCGAAGCGTTTAAGCTACCGATTGTCGAGTGTGAGGGCTTATAAACATCTCAAAAAGAGTGAACACCGCTATTTGTGCTCGGATTTCTAAATCGCCTGTGTTAGATCGTAATTGTATCTTCGAAATGGACGCACATTTTAGCTTAAATCAAACTAATTTGCCTCTATGATAACATCGTATCTTGATTCGGATATTATCAGTACTATCATGTTAAAGATCTCTGTACGATGGCTTACATATTTAATTTCCTTTCAGCTTTTATAAATGCACTTTGAAAAAATGGACAAAGGTTGTGAAACAGATAATCGTTTGATTCGGGACAAAGGCAATGAAACGGAGGAAGTACCTTGATCCATGAAATGTTGAATATTTCACGCGCCAAAGCAATCAATCTGTCGGAAAAGCTAGACAGTTCATCTGAAAAAGAAGTCGATGTTGATGTGCTGCGATTACGAAATGGTAGCCAAGAAGACGCTGACCTGACATAACTACTGCTCAAAAGCAGCCTTGTACACGTCGTCGTAATAATCGGCAAAATGCACAACGAGATCCTTCCGCAAGTACTCTTCAAGCTCGTCAAAGTCACGCTTGTTGTCAAGTGGCAAAATGAGCGTTTTTACGCCTGATCGCTTCGCAGCAATAGTCTTCTCCTTGATGCCACCCACTGGCAAAACTTTGCCCACAAGCGACAGCTCTCCTGTCATAGCAAGATCAGGCTTCACGGTCCTATAAAAAAATCACATACATGTCAGTCGAGTTTGTAGATATTCACAACCTTTTTACGTACTTACTTGTTCATAGCTAAAGACAGTAACGCCGTCACCATAGTACAACCAGCAGACGGTCCGTCCTTAGGTGTTGCTCCCTCCGGAACGTGCAAGTGCACTTCATTCTCTTCAAAAAACTTGTTCTCCTCCTCAATTACGCGCATCTGGCTGCGTGCAAACGTGTGTGCAATTTTTGTACTCTCCTCCATTACAGATCCCATCTGGCCCGTTGTGATCAGACCAGAGCGCTCGCTTTTTGCATGTACCGTCGTGGTCTCGATGTAGAGAGAAGCTCCGCCCATGGCTGTCCAGGCAAGACCCATCACAACACCCGGGAACTGTTTGTCAAACATGCGATCACTAAAGCAACGCAAAAAATGATCAGTATATACAACAACGGTAAGTTTTGCGCTCATAGGCATACTTACGACGTGAAGATGGGCTTGCCAACGTATTGTGACAGTTTCTCAGGTGTGATCAAGAAGCGGTCCTTGTCTTCCGACACTTCTTCTCTATGCTCCTCCGCCGCAGAAGTCGGTTCACCACCCTCTTGAATGTCAGCAGCCTTGGTGCTCTCAATGTCTCTAACAACCTCAAGGGCAACCTTGCGGAAAATCTTCTCAACATGTTTCTCTAGATTTCGGACACCATTCTCGCGACAGTACTGCTTGACTAGCATCAAAATAGCATCGTCTGTCAAACCCAGCGGCTCCGGCATTGTCTCGGACTTCTGCAAACCCGATTTCTCGAGGGCCTTGGGCACAAGGTATCCCTTAGCAATTGCTAGTTTCTCCGGCGAGTCGTAGCCCGACAAACGCAAGACCTCCATTCGATCCAGCAAGGGACCCGGAATAGTGTCAGTAACATTAGCGGTACAGATGAACAGAACGCGAGATAAATCAACAGGCACATCCATGTAATGGTCGACAAAGCCGCTGTTCTGCGAAGGATCCAGAAGCTCTAGTAAAGCTGACGCAGGGTCACCTTGATAGCCGCGCCCTAGCTTGTCAATCTCATCGATCAAGATCAACGGGTTAGAGCTCTGAGTAGATTTCAAGCACTGAATGACTTTACCCGGCATTGCACCAACGTACGTACGACGGTGACCTTTGATTTCAGCAACGTCACTGAGACCACCAACCGAGAAACGGAAAAACTCGCGGTTCAGCGATCGAGCGATGGACTTGCCAATGCTCGTCTTGCCCACACCAGGAGGACCAACGAAGCAAATTATTTTGCCCTGGACATCACCTTTTAATTTGGATACCGCAATAAACTCCAAAATTCGTTCCTTAATATCTTTCAGCCCATAGTGGTCTTCATCCAAGATTTGCTTGGCCTTGGTCAGATCAAAATTCTCTTCCGTCGCCTTGCCCCACGGCAATTGTGTCAGCCAGTCCAAATAATTGCGTGTGACATTAAACTCTGAAGAGTTCTTTTCCAACATTGACATCTTGTTCAGCTCGTCTTCTACCACTTCATTAACATTATCTGGAATACTACCCGGTGCGAATTCAGCAAGACGTTCACGATACTTTGTGATCATTGCATCCTTGTCATCCTTCTCCATACCAAGTTCCTTCTTAATAGCCTTCAGCTGTTCCATTAACAAATAATTGCGTTGATTCTTTGACACTTTTTCTTCCACCTGTTCCTTGATCGTCTGTTGCACTTTACTCAACTCTAATTCTTTCGTGATGAGCTCCAGCGCCTTTTTCAACCGGGCTTCACATGACAGTTCATCCATCACCTGCTGCAACTCGTCGCCATCCGCCGATGTCACCGAAGCGGCAAAGTCTGCCAGCTTGTACGGATTATGGATATCAATCCGTTGCGAAAAGTACTGCATGTGGTCCTTGAACAGCGGGTTCATCTTGACAATCTCCCTCAACGTGGCAACAATCTCGTTCGAGTACGCTCGAACCAATTTACTCTTCGGGTCGAACGGCGGATTGTCCAAATTACTAATATTCACTCGAACAGGAGGTCCTTCGTCCCGAATGCTATCAATTGCAATCCGGCGTTGGGACACCATTAACACTTGCACCGAGTTCGTATCAAATGGCAGTAAGTTGTCAATGCGTGCAAAGCTCCCAATATGGTGCAGTTCACTCAAATGTCGAACGAGGTCGTCCCCTCCACTGTCTTTCAATAGATCTCCACTCGATCGCTTCAAAAACACGCCAACATACTTCTGTCCACTCTCTTTGAGCGCCAAAAGTGCACGGGTAACCTCTGGATTAGTAATCGTCATGGGTAAGACAACTCCTGGAAAAAAGGGCCGACGCGCTGGTAGAGCCAGCACATGAGGGTACACTGGGGCGTTTTCCCCTTCCCCTACCGTAACCAGCTCAGTAGTCTGGACGACTTCCACGTCCTGGTTCTTATTCGTTGTGTTGACGTCATCATCATCGTCTTGACTCGACCCGTCATCTCGATCGCGACTGTCGGTCGAGAACAAAGCGCTAAGACAATCGCAACCACGACGTGCAGACGCATAGCGCCATAGATGGGGACTAGCGAGTGCGTGTGGTGGACGGTGGAACGCTGTGGCTATAGAGAAGGAGAGCGGCCGAGCGATCGTCGCCATTGACGGAAGGCGCGACATTGGCGAAGCTCCTCACCACTCTTATTATTTTGATTGCGCAATCTTGGGTCGACGACGGATGGGGCTGAATACCGGTACTTCTTTCTATGATACGACTAAAAAGCGGTTCAATCACTGCAAATCCGACTTGCTTATCCTTCGATGACAGCATGGGACTGCAAAGCCGACGATCGAGTCGCGCAGGTCGATACTATTCTGAATACGGATGCCCTTGTACTTGGATAAAGTTGTGAATAGGTACGACGCACTACGATTCGGTACGTGACGTCAGAAAATCCCTTTTCATTTATTGCTTTTAAATTCTTTTCGCCATAATGTCAAGTTCAAATATTCAAATTCGTAGCTAGTAATAAAGAATGCTAGTTACACGTTTAGGGAATTGCTAAATTCTCACTCCTTTTCCTTACATTCACACCCTTCCTTCGAAATCTTATGTGTAAAATTTTCTATTCATTTTAAGATTTGTTTTCTGTGATCGCTACCGACAAGTTCATAATGTCAGAAAGAGGTAAGCGTCATGAAAGATGATAAATTTGAGGACACGTAGGCCAGAAGCGCGAAAAGGTCGTGATGTGCTCGGCAGACCCGGCCGTGACTTGCCTTCTTGGTCGCCATTGACGACGCTCGATGTCACCGATGTTTTTGACAACTAAGTACCACTGTGTCATTGGGTTTGCAAGATCGTTTGTTCATCGGATGAATTCACTCTTGGGGTGCGTAGCAACAGCGTCGGTAGAATGAAACCTACACAAAACGGAGCGCTCACATGAGACACGTGAAGTGCTCGTCGAGACTTGCATTAGTCGTGCACACGCTATTCTAGCACAAGACTGTGGCCTGGTAACGAGAAGCTTTGTGCAGAAATACTACGACAACAAGTCTTGAATTCGTACAGATGTATACGAACTCGATAAAGCATGCGGTGATTTGCATACTGAATTATCTCCAGCACCGAGTCAATACTGTCGTAAACTAAGGCCAAAGCTCGGACATTTTAAGACCTCGCCCGTGATTCTATAGTAATTATCGTCTCGCACTGTTGCCCTTTTAGATGATTTGTTTTGATGCTCGTCGAACCTTTGAAGTCAGCACACCTCCACGTGGGGGCGCTAGCGCACTAGCTACATGTTTCTTCCCGTCTTTTCGACTTGATACTACAAGTATATCCGACCCCACAATATCCTTCAGCACGCTGTCACTTCCCTCCGCATCCTTACAATTCCTGCGTCTATTTAAAACCTTCTTTCTCCTTTAATGATGTCTGCAGAACAACACGGGCATAAACAACAGACAATTCTTGCTACAGCAGTCGGAAGACCAACATCGTGCACAAATTATGCATGCATGCGGTATATGCAGCTCGCTAGAATGCTCTCAACTAAGTACTTTCTACCTAAACGTGAAGGCCAGGCAGCAAATACTCATGAGACAAGTAAAGGCCAGGTACTACCAGCACCTGAGACAACTGGTTATAAGTCCACCCTCGACCTAGTCGACCGAGTGGCCGCCTAAATTGTACTCCGACTGAAGCCTATCACCTCGCCTCTCAGATCAATCTAAAATAAGGCCGACGTTTACAATCATCACCAAGTCCTCCGAAGAGTGCAACCCGACAGCCGACGGGTACAAAAAGTGAGAAAAGGTCTATACGCGACATCGGGGTACCCCTTCCGACAGTCGGCAGTCCGGCACATTGAGTGGCTTGGGGTCTCGTCAAACAATTTTGACAACCTACTTCATCACAATGATTCGGTTGCCTGGATCTTCAAAATTAGCGAGATTTCACCGCGACTCCCAAGATGAAGAAGACTCTATGGTCAAGACAGAACCAAAGACCAAAGAACCCAAAGAAGACCGACTGCCACTGACACAAGAAGACAAAAATAGTTCTTACCTTGCGGCTACTTCACACAATGAATGTTGTGGGCTGTTGATTTTTTATCCGCACAAGCGATACAGTCTGCAATTTAAGGCCTTAAGAATGCAAGCACGATAGGCTAGCTTCGATGGATAAGCGCATCAAAGCTTTGCAAGTTATTTACCACCATCCTATTTGTGGTCTTACCACCATAGTTTAAGCATGATTTCTGATAATGAGTTATACTACAGCGTCATCAAGTAATTTACACAATGCACTCTAAACAAATAATGCCTCCTGTAGCACCATTTTTCTTGAAAGTGTGCCAAATTATATTTTGTCTTCAATTATGATATATATTTGGATGTAGGATCGCGTTAGTGTCGCAAAAAGTTAGCATTTATCATCAATGCTTTACAGCCATTAAGACCTCAATGGACGCACAAGTTCTCATTTCTAAGACAAAGTAAGATCAATAAGTAACCGTTATACTTTATATCAGGCTTGACGTCATAGACGTTGTACTTTGCGTTAAGTGCTTCCTTGTTTTCTTCCTACACTTGATTAAAAATGATGTTCCAAACAAAGGATTAAGCTTTCTTTTGAATACATTGTATAGTATAATTTATCGAAGTGTAGTATTTTGTGGACACATACGGCAATATGAAATTGTTTATCAATACAACGGACAAGACTAACCATATTTACTCAAACATTTCTTTAAATCAAGTTAGAAAATTACTTTAGATAAAAAGTTTATCTCCTGCAAAGTCTAACGTTCTTGAACCTGCCTAAAAATCACAGAGGGTGTAGAGCGAATAATGTCTAATAAGCGCGTTTTACATATGCCAATATGACTATACAACCGATAAATTTTTGTCAGCCCGTAGATAAAGATTTTGATGGTTGTGCACAAGAGAAATACCAAACTTTTGAAAATTGTACTTATCTGTCTGTGTGTGTATTCTATTAGAGCAGATGTACCTTTCGAGTAGTTGTGAGTACGAAGTAGCCCTTAACTCCTCAACGTTGTAATCTTTTTAACAGGTCACTAGTTGCGACTTTAAAGTGTACGATACAAAAGCAAGATTAGAAATGATTTATAAGCAAGTATCTAGTCCATTGAACCAATTGAAATTCACGTACCTTGCGCTTAGCCAGTAATTGCTGTAACGAGGTTACATCAACGCGCGAGACTTTTCGCATTAGTAAATGAAAGGTATGAGATAGATTTTAATAGCAGTACGCACTTAGACTTCTGAAGTATTTAAGGTACAGCAATTGCGTACCAATCACAAAATCTGTTTTACAAGCGGATGACGCCAGTTTTGACGTCATCACTATGCTTCATTGAAGTCCTCAATCAACGCCCTATTTTGGCTCAATCGCGTATAAAAAGGCTTTTTATCTGAGCATTCGTATAATCGTGTGTATTTGAGCCACTTAATGTTAATTTTTTTGTAAAACATTCAAATGTCAATCTACCTATATGTTGCGCTATATTTAAAGTGTGTGCCGGAAAACGGGGAAATGCGTCCGAGCCACACTATCTAATCGTGCGTTTCTATCGATAAGGCAGTATTAAGGCGACCACCCAATTTTTCTGCACGTGATATCATACAGTTAAATTGCTTCCTCGGAGGTGCTTAAAGAGTTGTAATAAGATATTGTGTGGCAGCTAACCCGCATGCCTACAGCTTCATCCTCGGCCTAGTAAAGATGCGTAAGACCAATGCAGACAAAAAATGCCGCATAGCACTAAGTACGACGTTATGAATACACCTAGCGTTATATTAAGATTGACAAGCACACACACAAGTTAGTAGGAGTGCAAAGTTTGGCTTTCGCATCGCGCACAATAATTGATGGCTGCACCCTTCGTGCTTGTAATTACGCTGATTAGTTCATAAATAATATATTATCGACCGCGTATGTTGGATGGAGGCGTTAACGAGCAGGACCATTCTTTTTCTACCCTTTCTTGCATTCTTCACTACAGAATAATAAAATTAACAAGTGTGATTACACGCAAACTTTTATTATCGCTTTAACACTTTCACATCGTGGACTGAACTACTTACATCAAGAGACGAGATACAAAGCTTGCTTACCTATTCGATTATCATCTAATTCTCTAATTTAAAAAGAAGGGCATAGCAAGATTGAACTTAGTAATTAAATGAATTAAGCTGGTTTGATCGATATTATTGCGAGCCCGGAGGTTAAGCTTTTGGTTACTGTGCGCAAAATTGAGTACGAGCTTTTTTCTGCACTGAACTCAGCACGTGTCTGTCTGTGTTTGTAAATGACGCGGCTATGCGTTCTTTTACGTATCAAGCACGATCTAGTCTGCCCCCCCTTGCAGGTATATCGTAATCATGTTTACTTGTTTTTTTACTAAAGCTAAGTATGATCACATAAGCAGCTGGACTTGTATAAGCACAGGCAGATCGCGTTTTCCTTACCATACTGGGAAAATACAGACATCAACAACATCATATCTATTTTAATTAAGTGCAGCTGTTATATGATGTTTTGGAATTTGATTCAGTTCTCTTCCCTGACTTACTTTTGTTAATGTACGGGCTCCAAAGCTTGGTCCCCTATATTTTATTTACGCTGCCCCGTTGTATTTTTAATCTGACAAAAAATGCTTGTTTCACCCGTATTTAAATGAACATTGTTATCAACAACGATGCGAATCGTCGTCTGTCAGACATAAATCAACTCCCAGAATGATGATAAATGCTAGGAAAATTCAAGTCAAAATCGTTTGATTACACGTTTTTTAGTTAGGTGAAAAGAAGGTTGAGCTGCGCGGGGCCGGGCAAATGTAAGCGAAGAGAAACGAAAAGTCTAGCCGTGGAGGCTGACTGCGACAGAGATGTAGCCATGGAGAAGCAGAATCCTTTGAAGAAGCTGAGCAACACTAACGTAAGATCAACCTCTGTTTTAATAATATGCTTTATTTACAGCGCTTCTTTGGTCGTACTCCACAAGTGTAATTGCTTTAGACAGAACGATGCACTAAATGAAATGACAGGGTATGTGCTTCATAATCTGAGCGTCAGTATACCTGATTCACGGGCTTGCGATTTGTGTTGTGCGTATACGCTTGTCAATC